TCTATAATCTCCAATCTTTCACTTTTCTTTAATTTCTTCCTCTCTACTAGGTACTTCTCTACTGCTTACAAACAGGCCCATGAGTCCCCTTCCTTGAAAAGACCCTCACTTGATCCAGCTACCCCTACTATCATCCTCTGTTTGTTCTCCCCTTTGTGGCTACACTACTTAAATGTCCTGTTGGACCTTCTGAATTGGATCTCTCATAGACATTTTAAATTCAACATGGCCAAAGGTGAACTCATTATCTTTTCCCCCAAACCTTCTCCCCTTCCTAACTTCCCTGTCACCATCAATGGGACCACCAGCTTTTCAGTCACTGAATCTCACAAACCAGGTGTCATCGTCAATTCTTCGTTCTCCCACCCAAACCCCATATTCAAGTACTACTGTTGCCAAGTACTATTGTTTCTACATCTGTAACATTTCTTTGATAAAACCCTTTCTCTTCTCTGACATTGTCTCAGCACTGGCGCATGTATTCCTCCCTCATTGTAGGAATATTGCAGTAGTCCCTGCTTCAGGTCTCTTCCTATGGTCCATTCTCTACTCAGCTGTTAAACCAATCTTCCTAAATCACCAGCGTGACTATGTCAGCCCCTATTTAATTAACTCCAGTGGCTCCCTATTGCCTCCAGTATCAAATATCAAATCCTGTTTGGCTTTTCAAGTCCCTCATAACCTTCCTCCTTTCTACCTTTAGTCTTCTTGCAACTTGCACCTGGCCCCATGAACACTGGCCTCCTTGCTGTTCCTTAGAGATGACACTCCTCTCAATTCTAGGCATTTTCATTGGCTGGCCCCATACCTTCTCTCTCTCTTGATCTCTATGCCTTGGCTTCTTTCAAGGCTCAGCTAGTCTCACCTTCCGTAAGAAGCCTTTCCTGATTCCCCACTCTCCCATTCTAGTGCCTTCCTTCGATTGATTATCTCCTATTTATCCTATATCTATTTTGTTTATATGTCATTGTTTGCATATTGTCTGTCCCACTGTAAGTTCCTTAAGAATGGAAGCTGGTCTTTTGCCATTATTTGAATCTCCACTGCTTAGCATAATGCCTGGCACATAGCAGGTACTTAAATGCAAACTATCCAATCTGTTCAACTGATCAACCTCTCTATTTCTTAACTGGTACCAAATTGGTTTTTTTTAAATTCAATTTCATTTTCTATTCCAGATTCTCTCCCTCTCCCACCCATTGAGAAGGCAAGAAATAGAAAAACCCACTATAACTATGAAGTTATGCAAACAAACATGTCTCAATCTATACATTGAGTCCATCAGTCTCTAGCTGGAGGTGGATGGCATTTTTTTTTCAGCCCTTTGAAATTGTGGCTGATTGTGTTGATCAGAGTTACTACGTCTTTCAGAGTTGACTATCTTTACAATATTGCTGTTACTGTGTAAATTGTTCTGGTTTTCCTCACTTCATTTTGCTTCAGTTCATCTAAATCTTCCAAGGTTTTTATGAAACCATCCTTTTCATTTTTTACATGACACTAAAATTCCATCATGTTCATATGCCATACCTTGTTCAACCATTCTCCAATTAATGGGCATCTCTGCATTTTCCAATTCTTTGCCAAAACAAAAAGTTTCTACAGATATTTTTGTACATATGGGTCCTTTTCCTTTTCCTTTGATCTCTTTAGAGGTACAGGCCTAGCAGCAGTATAGCTGGGTCAAAGGATATGATAAAACGGTAATTTTGGGCAAAATTATAAACTGCTTTCTAGACTGTTTTAATGATCACTGTTCGGTTGCATAGTTGGAGAACTGGTGCTGCTAGGTCCCCTTTACCATTTCCTCCCTATTATTTTCCTTGAGATTCTTGACCTTTTGTTCCTCCAGATAAATTGTTATTTATTTTCTAGCTCCATAAAGAAATACTTTTAGGGCAGCTAGGTGGTGCAGTGGATAGAGCACCGGCCCTGAAGTCAGGAGGACCTGAGTTCAAATCTGGCCTCAGACCAAACACTTGACACTTAATAGCTGTGTGACCCTGGGCAAGTCACTTAACCCCAATTGCCAAAAAAACAAAACAAAAACCTTTTGGTAGTTTGATTGGTATGGAACTGAATAAGTAAACTAATTTAAGCAGTACTGTCATTTTTACTATATTGGCTCAGCCTACTCATGAAAAAATCAACATTTCTCCAATTATTTATTTTTGTATAATTATTGTGTATTGTTGTACAAATGTTGTGTAGTTACATCCATACAGTTCTTTTTTGTGTCTTAGTTATTTTAAATGGACTTTCTTTTTCTCTCTTCTTGCTCAGTTTTATTGGCAATATATAGAAATGTTGATGATTGTCAGTTTATTGTATATTCATCAACTTTGCTGGTTATTGTTTCCAAATAATTTTTAGTTGACTCTAGAGTTCCTGCAGTAAAATGTCATGATTTTTTTCCCCTCTCTTTGCCAATGTTTATTCCCAGTATTTTTTTTTCTTAGCTCTATAGTTAGCTTTTTGATCAGTATATCAAGTAGTAATGGTGATAAAGGGCATATTTGCTTTACCTTTGATCTTATTGGAAAGGCCTCTGATCTATCTCCATTAAGTACAAAACTGGCTCTTGGTTTTAGGTAGATTATGTAACACATAAAAAGAAGCTAAAAAGCATGAGGGGCAAGAAGAGAAGGGGAGGAGGGTACGTGGTAGAGGCGGCTGTGATGAAGCTGGGGTAGGAAATGATACAGGGGCTGCCCTAGGCACTCTCCTTAAATGAAGGATCTGGGAGGACCTCTCTGACGTCTTCTCTCCACCTCCTCACTGGGTTAGTGCCCCAGGGGTAGGGGGTACTGAAGAGGTGTGAATTTCAGATCAAAAAACAAATCTTAATTTGTGTCCCAGCAATGAAATTTGGTTGAAGGAATTGGGAATGCTTAACCTGGAGAATAAAAGGCATAAGGAGGTGACTTCATACTTATCTTCAAGTATTTGAAGGGCTATCATCTGGAAGAGGGTTGGGTTTCTTCTGTTTACTCCCAGAGGACAGAACTAAGAAAATAGGTGAAAATTGGGAGACTTTATGTTATGAATAACTACTTAATAATTACAGCCATTTGAGGCAGTGGGTCCTCCCTCCCTTGAGGTCCTTAAGCAGAAGCAGGATGACAGATATGGAAAATGAAGCAAAGGTGGTTGCATACAACCCATACATTTAAATAGATTCTTTAGCATTTCTCACATCAGGGACTAACAGAGCCTTTTCATACCTGATATTATCATAATCTGGCTACAAGCTTCTGCCAAACTTGTGATTCTGGAGTTTCCTGTCTTTCTTTTCCTGCCTGAAGGCAATTGAACTGATTTACATGGTTTCTATCTAAGCCTGAGTCATTCTGACACTGTTGAATATTCAGAGGGAGATGTGAGTCCCAAATGACAAAGAGAATGCTAAGCATGACACTGTATACTTGTGTACACGACACTGTACTAACATATTATTATAGTTGTGTTCAGATTTTGGTGAAGAGACATGCAGACAGAAGACACTCCAGAGGGTAAAGACTTTGGCACGGCAGACATGCGTGGGAAATAAAGAAAGCCCACTATGTTTCTGAACTTGCTTGAAATTCTAGAGCTGGGGGCCTTAATATTTTTTTGTGTCACTGATCATCCTGGCAGTCTGGTGAAACCTGTGGAGCCCTGCTTGAAATAATGCTTTTAAATGCATAAAATAAAATACATAGGATTACAAAGGAAACCAATTAGACTGAAATAAAGATGTAACTTTTCCCCCATCCAAGTCCATAGAACCCCTGAAATCTACCCACAGACTCCAAGGGAGTCCAAGGACTGACTTAGAAGGGACTTCCTCGGGGTGAGACTGTTCTTTATCTTCTTGTCAGACCTAAGCTCTCATTTCGCTCGCAGCTGAAGGGCCGCATCGCTCTTCGCGGGGCTGGAGGCGAAGGAGGCCCAGCCGCCTCTGTTACCTGTACTGGGCGACCGTCAGGGGCCTGGTGGGCGCGGCTCCGAAGCCGGGCAAGTGCCGGCTCAGGTAGTCCTCCAGGGACCTCTGGTCAAGTCTGTGCTGGGGCAGGACGTCGCCCGTGTCGGGCTCTCTAAACGCTTCGGACGCCATGGTCAGCCGCCACCGCCGCCAGCACCGCCTCCGGGACACCAAGGGGCCGAGGACCAAATGCGTCGGTCCAAAGTTTGTCTTGGCGTGGGGCGTGGGAGGGCGGAGCTGGGGGCGTGGAGGGCCGAGGGCGGGGCCCGGGCCGGGCCGTCCCATCCTTGCGGTGAGCGACGGGACGCTGCCCATGGGGGCGGGGCTGGGCGGGATTCTGGGCCCGCCCTCCGATCACTTCCGCACAGGATGCAGCCCTTGGGGGCGCGGCTCGCTCCCTCTCGCCCGCGATTGGCTCGCATCGCAGTTGCCTAGCAACGGCGTCACCGCCTCTGTCTGTCTGTGGTTGTCTGCCCAAGAGCAGCCTTTGCTTTCCGCTCGTCCCAGATGACGAGACTGGTTCTTTTAAGGAAGGGACGGCTGCTTCACTGAGGCGAAAGAAGCCACACACTATCCCTCCTTTCAAACTTCATTCACTGGAAACCGGAAAGCCGATTGGTCCCTCGCAAAAGGATCCTCCGGGAACGTAGGCGCTGAGGCTACACGGTTCCGCTCCTGCCCGCTCTGCGTGCCCGGAGAGGCGGAGGCTAGGTGGGGTGGGCAGGAAGGAAGCGTGGCCAAGGGAAGGCGATGCCTGTAGCACACCGGAAGTGGCCCCGGCGAACTGAGGCGACGTGTCGCTCCGGCGCGGGGTGGGTGCTTCCCGGCTCGGCTTTCGTGTCTGCGCAGCGGGTCTGGCTCGCGGAGCAGCAGCGTGGGGCGGCGGCGGCGGGGAAGGCGGAGGCCCGGGCGAGGGGCGGCCGAGGCCCAGGCCCCGGACATGGCTTCCTCCTCGGCCGAGACGGCGGAGCAGCTGCGGCGGCGGGTCCAGGAGCTGGAGCGGGAGCTGGCGCAGGAGCGGAGCCGGCGGGCCCCGGGAGGCAGCGCCGGGGGGGACGTGGGCGGCGGCGGCGGCGGAGGCCGGGTCCGCATCGACAAGATGAGCCCGGAGGTGGTGGATTCCAACCCGTACAGGTGAGCGCGGCCCCTGCAGAACCGCCGAGCTGGGTCCCCGGAGTGCGCGACTTCGATTGGCCCTGAGGCCGGCCTGGGCCGGGTGCCCCGTTTTCCCCCACCGCCTCCTTCCCCGACTCCCCGGGGTGTAAGAAGAGGTTTTTAAAGGGCCGGTCCAGGGGAGGATCCCGCCTAGAGCGGTTCTAGATCAGGTTGGTGTTCTCGCGGCTCGCTCCAGATGGAGGGTTCGCAGGGCGTGTTTAGCCTCGAGTATGCCTTTTCGACTAAAAAGGAAAAAAAAGATTCGTTCATTCATTTTTAACGTTCATTTGTTAAAATTTTCCGTTTCCAATGCTTTTGCTCCCTCCGGCCCCTTCCATACCCATTGAGAAGGCAAGCAGTATTGTACCCATTATACAGACGAAGTCGGGGAAAACATGTCCATATTTGGCCGTTCGTTAAACCAGTATGTACCTCAGGCTACTCTACAGGATTTCTCTGTGCAATTAGACCTTTACAAGTATTAGTGTACAGTTACGGCACTGTGCCACCTGCTTCAAGGGTACAAGAAAGCCTTGACTGGTAGGACCTGCTCTCAAGGACCTTAGAATCTATATTAGGAAAGAAGACGAATGAAACAATTAGCCAAAAACACGAGACTGGATTTTCCATTGAGTGCTAAACTCTCCTGTGTACTTCATGGATTTATGAATTTATGACTTTATGAATTGTAAAAGGGAAGATGGGTGAGAGCTGGAGGTGCGAACTGAAGAGAACAAGGAGTAGATTATGACCTAACTTATTTGGAAGTTTGGTCATCTTACTAAATGTTAAAAATGTTGATGAGAAAGTTAAAGAAAACTAATGAAATTCACTTTTGTCTTATTTTACCTAAACATTCAACACTTGTAACTTCCTCTTGCCTTTAAGAGGGCAAAAGGCAGATATATAAATCTGCTTGATCTCAGTGGGGGCATCCCATCATCTGCTGGAGATCATCACATTATCCTGTCTTTAAATTCTTAGGGTTAGAGCTGGAAGGAAGCTCAGGAGGTCATCTTGCCCAAACCTCTCGTTTGAAAGATGAGGAACCCAGGGCTCCGAGGAGTTTACTGACTTGCCCAAGGTCACACTGTAGTACAGCTCAGAATTGACCCCAGGTCTTCTGATCCACGGCCAACACTTTTCCCATGGTGCCCACATCCCTGGTTTGTGTTTTTGTTGTTTGTAAATGTTTTCTGGGCTCCAGAGCAGCACTCAGGCTGTTCATTGTGATCTTTACTTTCACCATTAAGACTCACCTGCAGACTTGTTAAGTTTTTTGTGTCTAGCACTCAGTACTGTACAACAGATCTAAGCTTAAAATGTTTTTGATTATTTTTAAAAATAATTTTTTCTTTTGTTTTGAAGTCGCCTGATGGCATTGAAACGAATGGGAATTGTGAAGGATTATGAGGTATTGTATTTATTTGACATTTTTGAAGATTTTGACCCAAAAATAATTTTTTGCAACTATTAAGAAGTATATTGATTAGAGTATTTTTAATGTACTTTTCACAGAAAATCCGCACCTTTGCTGTAGCAGTAGTAGGTGTTGGTGGAGTTGGTAGTGTTACTGCTGAAATGCTAACAAGATGTGGCATTGGTAAGGTAAAAGATGCTTTTCTAACTATCACATGATGAACCATTTACTCCTGGAGAAACAGGTACTGTCAGTATTATGTCATATAAGCACCCACACATACATGTACCCCCTATACTTGAAATAAGTTGAAGCTATTGAAATAAACATTTATTGTTTAAGTCCTAGTCTAGTGTTAAATTGTGGTGTGAAGTGAGCCTGTGTTCTGAGATGCTGGAACAGTACAGTGTAAAATTGGGCAGGTCCAAGTAGGCTGTCTGCTCCCTTGTTTTAGTGTGGTGGAATACTCATCTTCACAAGATTGGTAACCAAGAACTAATATATTTCACCATTGTGCCTCATGAATGAGGAGTTGTGATCTGTTAATGGAGGGAGTTATGATACCATTGAAATTTAGGCTTCCTCAATTTCTTAAAGTAAATTTTATTTCTGCAGTGATGTCACCTTCTATATTGAACAACTGATACCTACTTGTAACTACATATCCTCTATCTAATGATAAGAGAAATATGCGTACCAGTCTGAAGCATTTACTAATTCTTTGGGATAGGAACTATGAAAAACTTTTTTATAAACTATTAGAATAGGTGAACAAATGACTAAGTAACAAACCATTTCAGCTGAAAGTGTTAGGTTTAGAGTCAGAAGACATGGATTCAAATCCTGAATTGTGCCTTACTGCCTGTGTAACCTTGGGCAAACTTACCCCCTTCTGCACCTCATTTTCTTCATCTGTAAAATGTAAGGTTTGACCTTTGAAGTTCCTTCCAAATCTAAATTTATGATCACATAATATCTGTAAAATGAGGGATTTGTAGAGAAGTGTCAGAATTCAGTTAGAAATCTTCCTCCGCTCCCTGTGAATTTTGGTCCAGGCTTTTTCCTTACTCTTGAGTCTGACCTTGATATGTTCTGGTTTGGAACTGGGTCCTTTTTTTTAAAATCCTATTTTGTTATTCTAACATCTAAACATTATTAGGTTTTCTGAAAAAAAAAGTGGGGAGAAGAACTCCTTTTCCTCAAATTAGATTGATAGGTTGATCTAGTTTTCTAAAATATGCATTATTGGTTTTAAAATTTGTTGGTACCTTTGTTTTTTCAAGTTATTTTTTTTGATTTATGTCCTACACACACACACACACACACACACACACACACACACACACACAAACAAACACGCACGAAGAAGAATGATTTTGTGTTGGTTAAAGTCTAAGTTGTAGTTTAGAATTTCTTTTTTTCAGTCATGACATAAGCAGTATGTGTGTGTGTGTGTGTGTAAATGTGTGTATACACACACGAAGAAGAATGATTTTGTATTGGTTAAAGTCTAAGTTGTAGTTTAGAATTTCTTTTTTTCAGTCACGACATAAGCAGTATGTGTGTGTAAGTGTGTATACACAACACACATACATACACTCTACTGCAAGTATATTTTTGTTTAAATTATAGTGCACGTTTTTATCTTCTATCTAAAGACTTCACCACAGCTGATTGATTCTGTACAATGCTGTATATCAGAGAAAAAGAACTTGACCTAGCTCTTAAAGATTTAGGTTGCTAATTATGAAAATTTATGGTGACTTTTATTTATGTATAATGACATGGGGATGATGTGACCTCTTTATAAGAAGTCAGTCATCATGCTCTTCTTTCTGAGAGAGCTAAGTAGCTCCAGTATACCACCAGTATAAAGTCGACTCCACTTGTGACAAAGTCCTGCTGAAAATTCTTATGAACTTGCAATGAATTTTGAACAGATTTTCTTTGTGTTTCTTGATTCATCTTTTTAGCACTATTATTTGGGATTGAAATATAAGATTAAGAGTTGATTTTGTTTTTGTTGTTCTTGTACTTAGAATATCTTATACAAAATGGGTGCTTAAATACTTTTTGAGTGAGAATGAATAATCATTTATATTGTTTACATCTGATGAAACTTAGTTCATTTTTAACCCTATGAATGACTGGCACACATGAATTACTAATGAGGTGTTTATTCATAAAAATATTATTTATTATCTCTAGCTGTTACTATTTGATTATGACAAAGTGGAACTGGCCAACATGAATAGACTTTTCTTCCAGCCCCATCAAGCAGGATTAAGCAAAGTTCAAGCGGCAGAACATACTTTACGGTCAGTAGAATAGAAATTAAGTATTCATAATTAAGTGACATCTCCCAGTGTCTTGTATAAAAAGTTCACTTGGTGTCTGGATGTAGCTCTTGTGTTTTGTTTATAACTGTAGGTTTGACTCATATTCAGCAGCTAAAACCCTCCTGTGGCTTCTGCCTTAACAAGTTCAGTAGATATCCAGTAAATTCTTGCTGAATTTCAGTGAATGAGCAGCATTGTATCAGAAACTTTTCTGCAGATTGAAAGGGAGGGCTCACTCCTGCCCTATGAGTTAATCTCAGTTTTCATGAAGTATTTGTTTTTTTTATTTAAACTTTTACAAGGTCTATTTTTCACTGTTGTATTTGATATTTAACCGCTATCTGAGGTGGGAGAGAAAAGGAATAGCAAAATGATTCTTTTTTTTTTTTTATGATTACAAGTAAGCACTTCTAATTCTGGATTAGTACAAAATATTCTGGAACTCTTCCAACTCTTTTTTTTTTTTGTCCTCTTAATTTTTATTTTGTTCTCTGCCCCTACCAATGAGTTTTATTGTAATTATTTCCTTTTTCTTTCCTTAAGGAATATTAATCCTGATGTTCATTTTGAAGTATATAATTATAATATCACCACAGTGGACAACTTTCAACATTTCATGGATAGAATAAGGTAAAATATGCTTATTTAGAAATCTTCCATTGATACCTTTCCCCTTAATTTTAGTTTTGTGCTTGCTATCAAAATACCTTCTTTTGAGTTATTTACAGTCAGATAAGGATCTCAATAAGTAACATATGCTTTTTAAAAAATTGCATAATTTTTTGGCCTATCTTAAAATGATCCTTATAGGAAAGACCCAATTCATGCATTGCCTATTTAATTTCTTGTTTGTAGTTGTATTCAAAAAAATTTTTTTAAGCTAGAACATGAGACATTATAATAGGCTATTACAAGAGTCTACCAAGTATATTCAATTTTAATTATTGTATTTATTTTCTGGTATTTAAAGATTCACTATGGTCTGGATTATAGTTTCATTTGATAAGTGTGTTTGTGTGTGTTTGTGGTAAGGGGCTAATGCTAAAAAACTCTTTTCCATTTTGAGAGGCAGAAGGATCCAGGAAAGTAGGTTTGTAAACCTAATTCTGCCTTTCACCAGCAGTACTAGGATAGTGGTCACTTAACCTCTCTGAAACAGAGTTTCTCATATCTAGAATGCAGAAAATAATTCCTGCTTCTGTCATAAGGTTGTGTGAGGCTCAGATGAAAGCATGCATGTGAAAATGCTTTTAGGGGCAGGTTGGTGGCGCAGTGGATAGAGCACCAGCCCTGAAGTCAGGAGGACCTGAGTTCAAATCCGACCTCAGACCAAACACTTGACATGTACTTAGCTGTGTGACCTTGGGCAAGTCACTTAACCCCAATTGCCTCACTAGAAAAAAAAAAAAGAAAATGCTTTTAAACTGGAAAGTGCTCTGCAATGAAAGGTATTGAGTAATTTCAGTTAGTTAACAAGCATTGAGTGCTTGCTCTGTATTAGTACCATGGTAGAGTATAAAAAGAGACAAAAACAGTCCTTGTCCTCAGGAGCATACATTCTGTAACTATGGAGACTGGGACCTACTATGTCCCTAATAGGTAACTAGGTACATACAAGATACAGAGGATATGGAATGTAATCTGTAGAGAGGAAGGGGCTAGGAATAGTGGGGTCTGGGAAAAGCCTTCTCAGGAAGGTAGGAATTAAACTGATCTTTGAAGGAAGCCAGGGAAACTGAGGTAGAGGTGAGGAAGTGGAGCATTCCAGGCAGGGGGGACAGCCCCTGCAAAGGCCTGGAAGTGGGAGATGGGGTGTTATGTTAGGGAAATTGCAAGTCAGCCAGTGTGGCTGGATCATAGAGTAAATGGGGGGAAGTCAGGTCTAAAAACTGGTGAGGTTGGAAGGGGCTGGGTTATGAAGACCTATCAGGGCCAAATAGGAATTTATATTTGATCCTGAGGGAATAGGGATCCACCGGAACTCTCTGGCTGGAGGGTTGGTGGTGGTCAGACCTGTGTGTCAGAAAACCACTTTGGCACCTGAGAGGAGGGTGGATTGGAGAAGACGGAGCGGCCTGAGACAGAGCAATGAGAAGCCATTTCAGGAGTCGATTGTTGAGGTGATGATGGCATGAATGAGACTTGTGGCTGTAGGAGTGGAGGAGAGACTTGTATGAGAGGTATCGGGAAGGTAGAAACAAGATTGGGTAATAGATTAGGTGTGGGGGGTGAGCCTTGGCACTGAGCTTGTGGGTGCTGACCTTGACAGTGATATACAGGTTTAGAAGGGGAGGCAGTGTTTGGGGGGGCAGACAATGAGTTCTCTTTGGGGTATATTGATTTTGCAATGCCTGTGGGACCTCCAGTTTTGAGATGTTTAAGAGGAAATTGGAAATTCACAGCTAGCTCAGAAAAGAGACCAGGGCTGGATATATAGATCCATGAGATGATGATTGAACCCTTAGGAGCAGATGAGGTCACAGGATGACATAATCTAGAGCACTGGGGTTAAACCCACATGGAAATATATCCCTGTGGGCTGTGTATTGACTTAGAAAACCACAAATTACAGTTATCTATGTTGTATTTTGTTGATTTTTAAAAAAATATTTCTGAGTTACAGTTTAATCTGGTTTGGGCCTACTCAGGAGTATTGTGGGCTACTGCACAATATAAAGCTAGGTACATACATACTCTACCTGTGGCATAGAATATAAAGAGAAAGGGGCCCAGGACAGACCCTTCAGGGATACCCTTGGTTAGTTGGTGTGGCATGGTTGAAGAACCAGCAAAGGAGACTGAGAGGACACATAGGGGAACAGGGGAGAGCAATTTCAGAAAGACCTCGAGGAGATAGTGTACAGGAAGAGAAGGTGATCTACAGTGTCAGATGCTGCAGAAAGGTCAAGAAATGTAAGGATTGAGAAAAGGCCATTTGGAAAACATATGACTAGATTACCATGAAAGAAGAGGAGGTAACAACGTGGTAGAAGATTTAATATTTTATTACCTTCAACGTAACAAAATACGAATCATCGTCTCTGCTTAAGATATTGTAAATGTTATGAATTAGTGCCCTCTATGTATACTTGCTATCTATTAGAATGTTGTATTCTGTATCCAGTTAAAATTTTTTTTCTTATTTTTTTCTTTTGATTAGTAATGGCGGCTTGGAAAGCGGGAAACCTGTTGACCTAGTTCTGAGCTGTGTGGACAACTTTGAAGCTCGAATGGCAATTAATACAGTGAGTACTTTATTTAGTCCACAAAGGACATGATACTGCATGCATTTGGCTTAATATGTGTTCTGTTGATATGTCTTAATTCCTATCTGAGCAATAAATGATTTTGTATGAGCCCTAAATCTGAAGTGTTCTAAAATTTTTTATCTTTAAACTAATTTCTTAGATTATTAAAAAAAATTTTTGAAATACCCATATCTGTGGATATTTTTCTAGCTTTTTGCTCTCTTTCTCTCTCTCTCTTTCCCTCTCTCTCTCTATATATAGAGAGAGATAGCACATTCTGCAATATTACTCAGTAGCTCAAGCAAAAATATCTAATCTGGTTGAAGACCCCTTGTTTCTAAGGGTGTGTGTGTGTGTATGTACACAGATGTACATACATATGTGCGTGCATGTGTGCAATTGTGCAATCACACACATACTTCTCAGATGTATTGTTATTATCTTTTTAATGTATGGACTAAAACAAATTTCTGTAACATAGTATGATAAAACAGATGATTGCACATGAAGTTGCAAATATGCTGTGTACAACTTGTTCATTTCAAATATATTTCAGATGTATTATTTAAAAGATATATATGTATATTTTGATAGAACTGTTTTACAGTAGTACTTATTTGTGAGAGCTTGAATTTTCTTGACATCTTAAAATGTGTAAATTGCTATGAAGATGGTGTTTCTCAATATCATGAACTCTTTACTGTTGAATTATTAGAGTATTTTTTTTCCTTTATCAAAGTGCATTATTATTTTCTTAATTGCTGCTAGGATTCTTTTGGAGAAGATTTTTACATCTACTGATAATTTCAGAAGTGTTAATAATTAGTAAACCATATTATGCTCTATAACTAATATTTTTAATAGAATGGAAAAACTAAATGTAATCATCATTACAAATCATAACTTTTTGCTTTGACTATGATACAAATAGATTTAATTTTAAAATATATATATATATGGCATATGTGTATAGATCCTCATTTTTCATGAAAATAACATATGTAGTAAATTCTAGCCTTTTATTCACAGCTGTGACTTCATTCTACTTAGGCTTGTAATGAACTTGGGCAAACATGGATGGAATCTGGGGTCAGTGAAAACGCAGTCTCAGGGCACATACAACTTATCATTCCTGGGGAGTCTGCTTGTTTTGCGGTATGTACTACTGTTGTTTGATGTCCATTTTTAGGTTCTACAATTTTTAAAATGTAAAATTAAAACTAGAGAGAGTTGGGAGAGAAAACATAATCTTAATTTCATGTATTTCTATTTATGCATCTCTTTTACTTATTCTTTTAAAATAACCTTGCCTTTTTTTCCTTTTCCTTAAAGTGTGCTCCTCCACTGGTAGTAGCTGAGAATATTGATGAAAAGACACTAAAAAGAGAAGGAGTTTGTGCAGCTAGTCTTCCCACTACCATGGGAGTGGTTGCTGGAATTCTTGTACAAAATGTGTTAAAGTGAGTGCTAGAAAAAATGTCTGAATTGTCTTTTGTATATGTAGTATAAAAGTATATAAGTAGTACCTATGAGAAGTTGAACTGGATAGAAAGATCATCAAGAGACTGATTTTCTTAAGTCTATAGTTAGGGGTAGCTTATAGACATTGGGGTCTTTATGGAACACTGATTTTTCTTCTTTAAGTGTGACCAGGTGTCCCAATTTTCTTTAAATAAAAATTATTTTAAAAAAACAACTATTAATTATGGTAAGACCTTTACCTTCTGACACCAGAACATAGCCAAGGACCAAGAAGCAAGCTGTCAGTGTTTCTCAGCGGCATCAGCAGATTGGTCACAGAGTTGATGTGCCTTACTTGTAATCAGATTCTTCAGGCCCTGTTCAGAGCCCCTTTACTCTTAATATTACACATAAGTGTATTGGTAGTGGTTTTCAGGACTCCCATGTCCACAGTAAATTAGAAGTACAAATTGGATGGAAGATCTGCAGCAGCCAGTGTGCTGCTAGTAATAACTGACTCTAAGGAAGCAGGCCAGAAAGAACAGTAACAACAAACGCCACCCATACGCCATGATCTAGGACGGTGCCTGGGGCCTCTGAGTCTAGGAGCGCATAGACCTCCGTGTCTCCGCAGGCCTCTGGTGTTCATAACGTGACCCAGAATGATCAAGAAAAGCATAAAAAATGTTTAGTAGGTTCTGGTTAAGAGGCATCAAAAAAGATGCTTTAAGTAGTAAGAGCCCTCTGGAAAATTTAAACAGTTCATTTTCCTGATGGGACTTCAATGTTTAAAGGTCCCTGCAGCTGCTGGCAGTTTGGTATTAGAAAGTCTGTCTACTTAGGCCCATAAAGGTCTTCTTACACACTTTTGGAGCTTACTCTGCTTCAAGTCCCTGCCGTCTGTTGTTTCCTGGTATTAGGTGAACCTCAGAGCTTGATGCCACACCCACTTCTTTCTTTAGGCATTGAGCATTTCGTTGTCTGCTTACTTTGGCCTGCTAGGTCACACTGGATGGGGGTGCTGTAAAGGGGACTGCTTCACTATTGAAGTTTCCCTTCCAGGTTCCCTCATGTTGCTTTTTAAAAAGGATTACGTCTGGCTCCCACTGAAGAAGACGCTTCCCTGAATTAGCCCTTCTCCTTTGACCTTCAATTTCTGTGACGATAGACCCAAAGTGTGCCCGCTTCTGGGCTGCATTGTCTTTGAGTTGGGCCTGCTCCTAGTCTCCTTCCTGGGCTCGGGGGCCATTCAACATTTGGTGGCTTTTCCCTCCCTCAGGCCTGCTAGTTTTTTCTTTACTTAAGTACTTTTACATTTTATATGCATTGTAAATCTATTTTGAATATGACAGCACATAACTACTAGACAGGACTTTGTCTCTCTAGTACCCTAAACTATGGTACTCTAGGGAGGAACCCACAACGTGCCACTTTTCATTGGTAGAGGAAATTTTTCATGAATAACTTAAGTCACTGATCTATTCAAAGTATGAAAAAACCCCATGTATAATTTTTTAAAATTGCTATTTAATCATGTTCATACACTAATGTGAAAAAATATTGTATTTCCTTTATGAAAGCTTTCATTAATCTGCTTTAATTAATACATAAGAATAATTTGTAACTTTGCCTATTGTATCTAAATGAATGCTTAAAAAGTTTGTGTTTTAAACTCACAGTTATACATTTTGTTATAGGAGACCTCTTACCCTCCCTGGGGCTCAGTTTCTTCATTTATAAAATGAGGGGGTTAGATTAGATGGCCTCAGAATGAGGTTCCTTTTGGCTCCAGATTTAAAGTCTTATGAACTCAGCCCAGTCTATGTGAGTGTATGTGTATGCATGCTTACACTTTTTTCAACCCAGCTGTATTTGTTCTTTTTTCTTCCAAAAACTAGGTTTCTGTTAAATTTTGGTACTGTGAGTTTTTACCTGGGTTATAATGCAATGCAAGATTTCTTTCCCACCATGTCCATGAAGCCAAATCCTCAGTGTGATGACAGAAACTGCAGGAAGCAACAGGAGGAATATAAGGTAAGCTCTTGTTCCTGAGGATTATTGAAGGGACATTTATTCATAGGAAAATGCTGAAAACTTACAATAAACCAAGAGCTTGTTTAGGCTTGGAATCCTGGGAGAAAAGAAGAGTTTACTGTTGAATGAAAGCAATTTTTAAAAAATTAAATGAAGTTAATTACATTTATGTTGTGTTCTTGTTAAATTTGCTTTAGTGGCTTTTAAAAAATCTTTTCTAAAGAAGCTTCTATAAGCTGATCAGTTGCTATAACAGAATTTAAAACTCTTTAGTTCTAGAGTTCATAAAGACTGGTAATCTAAGGAACATATTGGTACTAAATTTCCACAGAAAAAAATTGCAGCTCTACCCAAACAAGAGGTTGTTGAACAAGAAGAAGAAGAAATACTTCATGAGGACAATGATTGGGGTAGGTGTTCAATCAGGAATTAAGTAGTAGTAGCAGAAACCCAACCCCATCTGTCACAAGCTATCTTGCATAGCCCTTTTAGGATTTTATCTTTGCTAAAGAAATCCCTATTTTTCCAAGCTACTCAGAAATAAGCATCAAATGTCATTCTCCAGGTATCGAGTTAGTGTCTGAGATTTCAGAAGAGGAGCTCAAAGATGCTTCTGGTCCTCTTCCTGACTTGCCTGAAGGCATTACAGTGGCATACACAGTTCCAAAAAAGGTACTTCTAAAAAATGAGCATGATTTAGGAAATAAGGTCACATTAACAAGCAGAATGTGGAAATGTTTTGCATGACTTCATATATATAACAGGTATAGTATTTCTTGCCTTCTGAGAGGGTGGAGGGAGAGAGAACTTGGAACTGAAAATAAAAATTTAAAAAATAAACACTTTTTAAAAATCTACAAGCATGGGAAACCTTTATTGTCAAAAGAAAGTTTTTTGCTTTCTAATAATCTTTCATACTAAAAATAAATCTCCCCACTACTACCTTGCCTTAAAGACATTTTTTTTTTTGGCTGCAATCATTGTGAGGTAGGAGTTATTAATACTGGCTTAAATGGCTTTGTTCTATATGTAGTATATTTTCAAGTTTATTGATATTGAGAAAATAATTGTGTTTATTTCCTTTATAATATATCAAGTATTATCTGATGACTTCTTATTAAAGTAAGCGATTGTTTTTGTTCAGTACTGATGTTTTAACTAGTGAACCATTTAAGATTTCTGGATTTTGTAATTCAGAAGGTTGATAGGACAGTAATGGAGATTGGTTTTTTTGGCCTGTCTTTTAAAAGTGGGTGTATTTTTAATCTATGGGGTTTATATAATTTGAGGTGAGAAGTTTTGGTCATGTATTCCTGAACAGCAGGAAATGCATAATCTGTTTTCATTTAGTTTTTTTTTTTCTTCCCCATTTGATAATAGGCAGAAGATGCCCTGCCTGGGGGGGAATCAGTGGAAGATTCTGGGGAGAGTTTGGAAGAACTTATGGCCAAGATGAAGAACATGTAGTGTTGTTTCACCTTCTGCCTTCTGGAGAAACTGAAGAAATAAACTTTAGAAGCGTTGGGAATTCCTGCATTGCTAGTAAAGCATACAGTGGCTTCATTTGATATGTAGTCTTTATTGGTACTGTATCTTCCTTTTTGAAATGAAGAGTACCTTGATTTGATTTCTTTTGTTCATCCGAAGAGTCCTCAGACTGTGAAGAAGGAGCTGTAAGAGACTGAGACATTTTTTTTCAGATCTAGCCACTGAGATATTAGTCTTTAGGCCCCAAATAAGAAGGTCAAGGTAAATAAAAAAAATAAAAGAAACCCATACTACCTTAAGGTTTAGAGGCCAGTTACAGTTAAGATTAAGGAGTTGTCTTTGTTGCACCTTGATAGCATATGACCTAAAATATTGAAATGGGAAATAAATTTTTTGAAATTTAAAAATATTAGTATATGATGTTGAAATAAAGACAATGATCAGTATAAACCAGGTGGTGGTTCTTAGGAAAGCTACAAGGAAAGTTGGAGAGAAATTAGCATTTAACCAATGCTGTATCTGATGGGACATGAATATCTGGTCACTAAGAAGGCAAACTGTATGCTAGCTAAGGTTATGTCATATCCTGGATGAGTTCTTGCAAGATGATTCCCTATTCTGTCTAAACATACATTTAGCAGCCTTCTGAATATTTTTCACCTTTAATATTTTACTTTTATTTCTTAGATACCTAGATACTAGGAAAAAGAAGCACTGGATAATCTCTGTATAGCCTCTGTGTTAATTTGACTTTGTAGTTGGGCATTGTGATTTAGTTATCTTAGATCCTAGATGAGTTGAATATTGAAATTTCAGACTTGCACAGCTTAGACACAAAAAACCTTTAATTGTGATCGCATCAGGAGGGATGCTCAACTGGAAATTGCTTATTGTTTTTACCCATTACAACAGTCCTATTCACAAATGTCAGTTTTTAATGGACTAGTCAGACACAGATGAAACAGACCAATAATGGCCTGGTTGAAAGAAATGGTTTTTTTTAAAACAAATAATATAGTTATTATTTATTAATATACTATTGCTATATTGTTTCCATTGCTGTTTAAATCATGTTTTTTAAATGTAAATACAGCTTTCCTTCTAATACTCTAATGAAAGCAGTATTTTTAACTTTTTGGCTTTGAAAAAATATCCATATCCAAACTGAGTCTAGTGAAAGAAAATTCTGATAATTTACTGATTAAGAACATGTCACATATAAAGTGCAAAAAGCTTAAAAACCGCAGTAAATTTTTTCAGAAAGATAAACCTCCTGTCTAGCGTCGTGACGGTTTATCTTTTGATGTTCCAAGGCTGTCTTGGTGATTATCATCATATAATAGTGAAGGGAGGAAAACTGGGACACTGTACTGTCTTTCCTGGGGTACTTCGTTCTGTACCTCACCTTATTGCAAACAGTCTCCTTTAGTTCATAGGAATATTATGAGAATCAGGTAATCTCTGTGAAATGTTTATTTCCTTGGAAATTACTGCATTGACATTGTAAGGTTTTACTTACTTATTTTTAAAATATGAACTCTGATGTGATACATGTGTTCTGAAAGTAGAAATATAATTGGTTAACAATGTTTAATATAGGCTTTTTATGTACTGTATTACTCTTACTATATTTTGTGTGGACTTGTGATTTCATTACTGGATAGATTTCTCAGTGTGGAAGCTTCCTTTCACCATTGAAGATGGTGATCTGTAACACTGGTCTGTAACTCAGTCTTAGCCATGTGGGAAAACTGAGAGGTTAAGATTTGTTTATGGTCATACTGTTATTATGTGTCTAAAGCAGGCCTTGAACCCAGGTCATCCTGACTTTACCGTATTGCCTCTCAGTACTTTATTGCATAAAGTTTCTGCAAATTAGAAAAAAAAAAGGGGTTAATATATTATTACACTTTATTCAAACAAATTTTGATTAGAAATATCATCTGAGGAGTTGTGCTATCTCTTAAAAAAAAAACCTTAAGAATTGAAACTGACTTTCCCCATCATCATTTTCCAGTTTGTTATAAATGTGCATTTATTTATATAGTTCCTAAAACTATATAAATAAATGCACATTTACAGTATCACAATTAATAAATACAAACAATATGAAATAAAATTTGAAATAATCATAAAATCAAAACCATTTAAATATTAGATACTAAACCTTGTGTCTCACTTTAATATTAATATTAATTGTCGATCCACCAAATTGTAAGAAATAAAGTTTAAGCACTTACATAATTTGTGTTCCTTCCCAGCTTTTTTCATACAAGTGAAATATAGAATATGTCCATATGTAATACATGCAATGCATACATACATATATATTTAATGTTTAACATTAAGAAGTATATCTTTAATGTACACATCCACACAATCGTTCAGTACTGCTGGAAAACAAATGCCAGGTTGTAATGGATTGTCCCTGACATGGAGGTCCAGTGCTTTAATTTTCAACTCAGGTGTAGCTTTTCTAGCTTGTTTTCCCATAATGAGATTCTCAGATCTTTAGTTTGAAATAAAGGAGAAGGTAGCCAGTTCTTTCTGGGCATAACGTCCCTCTCTCCCAAGCTGGACTTCTTTGTATCAGGAACAGTGACAGAGCAATCAATATTATATTTGAGATGAAATCAAAATATTAAAATGAGTTTTTTAAAAAATTTTTTACTCATTTTGAACTTAAATACAAAAAGGAAAAAAAAACCATTTCCATGTACATAGCACAACACAAAAAGAACATTCCATATGAAACCATGAATCTCCATTTCACAGTTTGCTTTTTTTTTTGGAAAACTATGTAATAAATACTACATAATCATTTTCAAAACTACCCTGTTCTTTTGTGCTTCCTTCTGAGTTTTCTTTTGTTCTCTTCTGTGTCCTTTTTTTCTCCCTTCACACGCTGCACTAGAGAAAACCACCATTAGACACAAATGTGCATAATACATATGTATATGTAAAATCATACTATACATCTATTTATCAGTTCTTTCTCTGGAAGTGGATAGCATCTTTCTTCATAGGTCCTTTGTAGTTGATTTGCATATTTATATTACTAAAGATAACTTAGCCATTCACAGTTTTTTGAACAGTATTGCTGTTACTATGTCCAATGTTCTTGGTTCTGTTCATTTCACTCTTCATTATTTCATGCAGGTCTTTCCTTGTTTTTTTAAGCTTTGGGGGGTTTGTGCAGCTGTTTTCAGAGATTACTTCTAAGGACCTGTAAATTTTCAGTTCTTCCAAGGTGGTATGGTAAAGGGTGAGGTGTTTACTCCTTTCCTGGCCTATGCTCTGGTCTGTGAGTGACCACAAGCACTCTTTTCTGCCTTGGAACTGTGAGGAGGATTTCTTTTCCACCCACTACAAGCTCCACCACGCCAGTGCTCCTCCTCGCCCCAGGACCACCACCTAGAACTGTGACCCAGATCTAAGCACAGGCAAAGAAAGAGAAACCAGCAGAGAGATCTCTGCAGTCCCCCCTATCAGCGACTCGATTCCTAATTCCTCCTCAGTTTGTGGGCCGGAAGTTTTGGGGGCAGCCACTGCCCGGGGGCCAAGCTTGAGGACTGGGGCTGGGTCCTTGCTTCTCTCTGTTACCACAGACAAAGACTTTTCCCACTGACCTTCTAAGTAGTCTTTGGGGTTCGTGGGTTGAGGACTATGGAAACCACCACAGCTGCCCATGATTCAGTCGTCTGAGTCTTGCTGTGGGTTTGCTGAGGCCTGTGTGCCCACACCGAACTGCGTTCCTCTCCTAGCTCGGCGCGTTATACTTTTCTGATCAACTATCCAGGTTTGGGCTGGAAATATCTTTCACTCGGTCTTTTTGTGGGTTCTGCTGCTTTAGAATTCGTTTAGAGCCATTTTTTACAGGTATTTGGAGGGATTTGGGGTAGCGCTCAAGCAAGTCACTGGTTTTACTCTGCCATCTTGGAATTCTACCTTTCCTTGTTTTTCTAAAATCAACTAGTTCATTATTTCTTGTAACACTGTAGTACTCCATCACAATCATATACCACAATTTGTTCAGCCATTCCCCAATTGATGGGCATCCCCTCAATTTCCGTTTTCTTGCCACCACAAAGAGAACTGCTATAAATACCTTAGAACATGTAAGTTCTTTTCCTTTTTTCCTTATCTCCTTGGGAAACAGAACTAATAGTAGTATTGCTGGGTCAAAGGGGAGAGATACCTGGTTTTATAACTCTTTGGGCATAATTCCAGATTGCTCTCCAAAATAGGTGGAACAGTTCCATCGACAGTGTCCCAATTTTTCCACATCCCCTCTGACATTTGTCATTTTCCCCGTCTTTCATTTAGCCAATCTGATAGTTGTGAGATACCTCAAAGTTGTTTTAATTTGCATATCTCTAATCAATAATGATTTAGAGCATTTTTTCATATGATATCATGGCTCTGTTTTCTTCCAAAAACTGCCTGTTCATATTGTTTTATCATTTATCAACTGGGGGATGTCTCATTCTTACAAATTTGACAATGTTCTCTATATATTTGAGTTATAAGACCTTTATATGAGAGACTGTCTATAAAATTCTCCCCCAATCTAACGTTTTCCTTCTAATCTTGGCTACATTAGGTTTATTTGTACAAAACCTTTTTAATTCAATGTAATCAAAATTATCTAATTTATACCTCACAATATTCTGTATCTCATTTATTTGTAACATTCTTCTATCCATAAGTCTGATAGGTAATATGTTCCATGTCCTAATTTTCTTATATTTCCCTTTATATCTAGGTCAAGTATCCATTTTGATCTTATTTTGGTAAATGGTGTAAGATATTGATCTATGCCCAATTTCTGCCAAACTGCTTGTTCCAGTTTACCCAATTTTTTACAAATGATGAATAATTATCTCAAAAGCTTAAATCCTTATATTTTGTCAAACACAAGGTTACAGTAATCATTTACTACTTACTGCATATTGTATGTCTACTCTATTCCATTGATCTACCTTTCTATTTCTTAGCCAGTACCAGATAAGTTTTGATAATTACTGCCTTATGATATAGTTTAAGATCTGGTACCACTAAAGCTCCTTCCATATTTTTTTTGCCATTAATTCCTTTGATATTCTTGATCTTTTGTTCTTCCAAATGAATTTTTTTTCCCTAGCTCAATAATTTTTTAGTAACTTAATTGGGATGGCATTGAAAAAGTAGATTAGGTATAATTGCCATTTTTATTATATTGGCTTTGCCCACCCATGAACAACTAGTATTTCTCCAGTTATTTAAATCTGACTTGACTTGTATAAAAAGTGTTTTATAATTATGTTCATGTAGTTTCTAGATTTGTCTTGGCAGATACACTCCCAGGTATTTTGTACTGTCTATAGTTATTTTAAATAGGTTATCTCTTACTATCTCTTCTTGCAGGGTTTCATTGTTGATATATAGAAATGCTGATGATTTATGTGGGTTTGTATCCTATTACTTTATTAAAATTATTGTTTCAACTAATTTTTAGTTGAATCTCTAGGGTATTCCAAGTATGTCATCATATTGTAGGCAAAAAGGTATAGTTTTATTACCTCATTGCCTATTCTGATTCTTTCAATTTCTTTTTCTTCTCTTATTGCCAGCATTTCTAATACAATGTTGAATAATATTGGTGATAATGGTCATTCTTGTTTGACTTCTGATCTTATAGGGAAGGCTTCTAGCTTTATCCTCATTACAAATAATGCCAGCTGATGGCTTTAGGTAGATGTCTGTTATCATTTTAGGGAAAAATCCATTTATATCTATGCTTTCAAGTGTTTTTATCAGGAATGAGTATTGTATTTTGTCAAAAGCTTTTTTTTTGCATTTACTGCTGTAATCATGATTTTTGTTGATTTTCGTATTGATAGGATCAATTATGTTAATAGTTTTCCTTATGTTAAATCATCCCTGAGTTTCTGGTATAAATCCCACTTAGTCACAATGTATTATCTTTGTGATACATTGTTGTAGTCTCCTAGCTAGTATTTTAGGATTTTTGCATCCACATTCATTAAAGAAATTGGTCTATAATTTTCTGTTTTTGCTCTTTCTGGTTTATATATCAGTACTATATTTTTCTTATAGAAGGAGTTTGGTAGGATTCCTTTGCTTATTATTCCAAATAACTTATTTAATAATTGGAATTAGTTGATCTTTAAATGTTTTGTTGAATTCACTTGCAAATCCATCTGGTCCTGATGCTTTTTTCTTAAGAAACTTATTTATGGCCAATTCAATTTCTTTTTATAAAATAGGTTTGTTTAGATATTCTGTTCCCTCCTATGTTAATCCAGGCAGTTTATATTTTTGTAAGTATTCTTCCATTTCACTTAAATTGTTAAATGTATTAATTGGGCAAACTAACTCCTTATAATTACTTTGGTTTCGTCTTCATTAGTGGTATATTCACTCTTCCTTTTTTGATACCAGTGACTTGGTTTATCCTTTCTTTTTAAAAGAATATTAACCAATGGTTTATCTTTTTTTTCATAAAAGCAATGCCTAGTTTTATTAATTCAATGGATTTCTTACATTCAAGTTTTCCTTTAATTTCAGAAAGGGTGTATTTTATAGGTACTATAAAATTTATACCAATACTACAGGTATCTGAGTTACAGTTCTCTAGAAAAGCCTGAGAACTTTAGGGTTTTTTTTTTTCTTGATACCTTTTTTTTTTTTTTGGCAAAGCAACTGGGGTTAAGTGACTTTCCCAGGGTCACACAACTAGTAAGTGTCAAGTGTCTAAGGCCAGATTTGAACTCAGGTCCTCCTGACTCCAGGGCCAGTGCTCTATCCACTGTGCCATCTAGCTGCCTTAGTACCTTGTGTTTTGACAAAATTAGTCACGTCCCAAAAAACCCCTCCCCATCCTCTCACACACACCACACCACCATAGTACCCTCCTCTTGAAAGCTGGTGAGCTACTTCACTTGTTTTGTCATTTCCCTGAGATTGTCGGATACTGTTTATTTCTGTCATTTTCTTATTACAAATCGTGCTGCTATGAACATTATGGCTCTTTTTATAAACGTAAGTATGGGCTTCCTGAATGGAGCACAGGGTATCAAACTATTTGGTTATTCTTCCCACAAATGCCAATTGTTTCCCAGAATTGGAAGGACCCATTCACAGCTCCAGTGGGGAGCTAGCATGCCTGTCTTCTGACAGCCCCTCCAGCCTTGAAGTTTTCCTTCTTTTATCATCTTCACAAATGGATGAATGTAAGGTGA